CTCCCATGATTACACTTCTTTTTTCAACATGCTGTCCCAACAGCACTTTAATATGCAAATTAGATACAGTGTATAGATAACATTGTGCTTAATGGGAAAACCAGTTTATGGAATTTTTACACACATAATGCATAAAGCAAAATGGTATATCAAATCATTTTGTTACATGTTTTATAACATAGTTGAGAACCATCCTTAAACAAAGTTAGTTATAAAAAAAATCCTGAAACCTAAAAATTGATTGGTGATTTAAAAAAAAATTCCAATTGTTTTTGCTTTTTCATGTCTACTCTTGTAATTTTATTTTTAGAAAAACTGAGTGCTGGTGTCCTCTACAGAGGACACAGCATAACTTATGAATAAAATATAATTTTTCAAAAATTTTATTTTACCATTTTTTTCTTATGCTCTAAACAATGTAATGACATGAAAAAATACTAAATTCACAAAGCTTTTTATTTCTGGTTCTCAGGAGGATATTAATAAAAATACAAACTTAAAAAAAAGAAAAATTGTCTAATTTTGACTACGTTTAATTTAGTTCTTTGTTGTTGGAAAAATTTATTGACAGAACGTTAATTTCTAAAATTAACTCTTTTCAAATTATAGATAAGCAACCTTTTTAAAACTTAAAAAAATTGTATTTTCACTAATGAATATAAAATTATTTTGGTTAAACGAACTGAACACGCTCGTCATAGTGCGCTACAAAGTCACGTGAACGAACGTGCTTCCTTACACAACAAAGATGGCGGCGCACTGTAGGAACCTGATGAGGTCGACTTTACAAGGTAGATAAACGTGTGGACATATGATTTAATAAATTGCTTTATAAACCATGATACCTCTGAATGATTTGTCTGTACATTATTACCTTACTAATGAAATATTTTAAACCACCGCTTCTAATTTGAATTACTGGTGCATTGCCAAATGATTGCTTGACAGGCCCAGAGGAGATTCATGCAGCAATAATTTACTGTACTTGCATTTAGTTGTATGCAAAGAACCGTTCAAGATAAATATGGCTAATGAGAACTCTGGGAAGACTAACTACTCTTGTTGTTCAGACTCAGAATCTCACATGTAGTAGGTAGATTAGATGCCACTATTTCAGGGAATCAGTCTGATGAATTATTAAGTGATATTAAATGAGCAAAAATGTTATCCCGAATATCAGCATAAGTATGGTTAAGCTGTTATCCACATAACTGCAGCCATACTGATACTTAGACCGGTATTGCTTGTGTACAACACCAGTTCACACAATATTAACATAAGTTAATATTGAGAAACTTACATTTTAGACAGAATACAACTCCAAACGAAGCCAAAGCAGAATCAACCCTTGCGCGTCTCCGGGCATTACACAGCAATGGAGTTCGGCTCCTGAATGAATCAGTTGTTGGTGTTAAATGAATCAATCAATTCTTCAATGACTAAATAAAGACAGTCACGTGTCGCCACCTACTGGCATTAATAAGAAGCTCTAACAATGTAGACAAGGGATAAAACTGGGTTTGATTCCCATAATAAAACATAAATGGTTTTGGATTAAACTAAAGCATCTGCTAAATGTAAATATGAGCATTATCCATATCTATATCTACAGTAATAAGTGCTAGCCTGCGATGCAGATGATAAACTGGCCCCATTATCTACAAGCCATCATCCATTCCTAACCCATAATTCAACCGCTGACATCATCTGTGCCCACTTGATTCTTAACACAAACCTATTAACCTGACCAGACACTTCCTCTGCATACAGATAACTCTACTTTCTTAATAGCACTGCGTTCCATTTTATTTCATATCTTGTTGTTCACAAAACACTCTATATATGATCTAGTAGGTCAGTATGGAAATTGTAAATGATCAAATGACAATTTCTGAGCAAATACAAGATGCAAAGTCATGCTTACGTATTTGAATGACAGCACGATAGCCGTGATGATGCCAGTCACAAACACTACGATTCCGAGGACACAGAAAAAACCTGAACATTTAGTGAAATCCACCTATAAAAAAAGAGAAAAGCATGGTAACATACGCTGAAACATTAAAGTCATGCTGATGGTGTACAAATTATGCGTGTAGTCCACCTTAGTTTGGAAGCAGAACACTGTCACCGCAACAGACACAAGAACAGTGATGCCCAGGGCCAGGAAAACCGCCTTAGTGCTATAATAGCTACAAACAAAAAATTACATTATAATATTCATAACTCTGAATTATATTTATAATTCATAACATTATTAGCAAAATAAACTACCCTTCAAAAATATGGGGTCTAGAAGATTTTTGTAATGTTTTTGAAAGAAGTCTCTATGCTTGCCAAGGTTGCATTTACTTGATACAATACAGTGATAAATAGAAAATTGACAAACAGCATTTATTTAAAATAGAATTTTTCACTGTCGTTTTTGTTCAATTCATTTTTCCTGGTACATGCTGAATAAACGTATAACATTTTTCAAAATAAAAACATCAAAACACACCAATAGTAATTGGCGTGGGAACAAAACCACTCTATCATTGCAAACTAAATGGACAAAGGAGTTGTCAAAAGGTAAACAGAGGGTTTACAAGACATCCATTAAAAACACTGCGTCAACAGTCCTGAGACTCGTGCTATTTTCCCATTTCCCCACCCACTGTATCTCACCACCGAGACATACACGTAGTGTGACATGTCTCACCTTGCTATATTTCCAGTCATGAACGATAAGGCCAGTGTCTAAAATAAGAAAAAAATAGGCAATGTTTAAAGATTTTAGCGTCCTTGATACTTTGTCTACAGCATTACATGTAAAAACAACATTGCCCATTACAGGTTTGGCCACACTCCCTCTTAAAGGGATAGTTCACCCAGAAAAGAAAATTTGATGTTTATCTGCTTATGGATACCTAGATGTAGTTATTGGCATCCAAGATGTAGGTGACTTTGTTTCTTCAGTAGAACACAAATGATGATTTTTAACTCCAGCCGTTGCAGACTATCAGTCGTATAATGCATGGCAATGGTAACAAAATCTAGGAGTAAAAAAAACATGCACAGACAAATTCTAATTAAACCCTGCGGCTCGTGACGACACATTGATGTCCTAAGACACGAAACGATCGGTTTGTGCCAGAAACCAAACAGTATTTATATAATTTTTTACCTCTAATACACCACTATGTCCAGCAGTCTTTGGACGCGCGCACGGCATCCGGTGCGTGAGGTGTGTACGCACTCTGGCGTAGTTTACGCAAGCGCCGGAAGTGATCTCTCGGGCGTATACGTCACTCATTGTTTACACAGTGCACAAACATTGTAGGTACGACAGCTAATCAGATTGTTCAAACCGACTTAAAACTAAAAGATTACTCTCTCGCGCGAACTCATTCGGGAGTGGTGACTTTCCACGTATTCCCAACTTCTGAGCCTGCTCGCCTGAAGTTATGGTTGATTGCTCTTCGGCTGGATATCAACACACCCATTAACGTAAACTACGCCAGAGCGCATACACACCTCACGAACCGGATGCTGTGCGGGCGCCCAAAGACAGTTGGACATAGTGGTGTATTAGAGGTAAAATATGATATAAATACTGTTCGGTTTCTCGCACAAACCGATCGTTTCGTGTCTTAGGACATCAAAGTGTCGTCACGAGCCGCAGGGTTTAATTTGGATTTGTCTGTGCATGATTTTGTTACCATTGACATGCATTATTCGACTGATAGACTGCAATGGCTGGAGTTAAAAATCCTAATTTGTGTTCTACTGAAGAAACAAAGTCACCTACATCTTGGATGCCCTGGGGGTGAGCAGATAAACATCAAATTTAAATTTTTGGGAGAACTATCCCTTTAATTCCTTCAGAATGACTCAGAATCTTCCAACTCACAAAAATGGCCAACAGGATCAGGTTCCATGGGAAACGCCTCCTAAAATGTGTGACAAAGGACAGGGCTAAATTCACTGGTTCACATTACAACTTATGTTTACAGTGGCTCTTTTTATGAGGGATTTAATTTTCAGATTCAATGATTTTTTGTTTATAATGTCTGGTATGATTTTTGTGTCCTCATTCTTACTGTGTCACATTACTAAACTACGAGCATCACAAAATATCGCCATCTGTTCTGTTTATTATTAGGTTGATTCAGAAAATGGGGCAAACATCTCACCTGGGTCCCTTACAGCAAACCAATACCAAGTGAGTGACTAAATAGACACCACTGAAAAAAAATAATTTCAACAGTCATTCACATTGTTCTACTTGACTACATTTGTATTTAATGTTATAAATATGAAGTATTCTGCATCGTTTCATTCTTACTATGAAACCCAGTAAATGGCTGGATTTTTCCTCACAAACACTCCTACAGGTTCCCTGTGCGAATAAAATCATGCATTAAAGTTTAAGGACAAAGTCTACCTTTGAACAAGCAGAGATAACATTTATCCTTTTGTGTGAACACAAAGCACAGAAAGTAACCACACCCCCCTAACAGACTCACACAAATGTGAAAATAGCCACGATGGTAGCTGTGACCAGAAGCTGCGCACCGAGGATCAGATAAACCTGCAAGACAGAAAGAACATTTTTCCAAACTCATCCATTCAGGACCATATTCATTATTCACACACGAAATCCATTAATCTGAAATAGCAACTGAGACACATTACCATAAAACTCTTTTACTTTCAAGTAAGATTATGCAGATTACAGAAGAACGATTCCTTACTTTTCGTATAAAAGTGTGACGGACACTAATATCGTCAAATCCTCCTGTTGTGGTAAATCCTTCATTATCACCTGTAACAATCATATTTTCTGTGAAAAATGCATCTCCTGAAGTGCTATTTGCAGAATGCAGAGTATGAATGGCCTCATTCACATCAGTCCATGTAAATAAACCATCATATAACTGGGATATTCTTCAACGTTGAGCACTTTTGATGTATAAGAATCTTAAAATACAAAAATACATCATACAAATATGAGCATAGATACATGTTTAAACCATGCTAACTGAAACAAAGACACAAATAATCATAATATATCTTGTGTGAGAATGATTTCTATCAGGTTTTTTAAAATAAGACTGTCCCACAGTTGAGTGTCATTTCCAGCACACCAAATCATTTTTACCCAATAAAGCTTTTTTATTAAAGGTTAGTGTACTTGTTTACAGTGCCATTGAAGAGCATGTCTGAGATAAAATATGAGACGTGAATAAAGAGAAATCAAATATTACTTGTAAACCGAATATGCTTTAATTGTGCATCATTTCCAATTGCATCAAAGTATGGCAAAAGTGTGAAAATATTCTTCAATGTGTCATTATTAAACACAAATGATTTAAGACATACACTCTTAAAAATAAAGGTGCTTCACGATGCCATAGAAGAACCTTTTTGTCTAAATGGTTCCATAAAGAACCTTTAACATCTGAAGAACCTTTCTGTTTCACAAAAGGTTCTTTGTGGTTCTTCAGATTATAAAAAGGTAAGAAAGAGATGGTTCTTTAAAGAACCTTTGACTGAATGGTTCTTCTATGGCATCGCTTGAAGAACCTTTTGAAGCACCTTTATTTTTAAGAGTGTAGTGGGAATTTTCATGACTTAAAAAAATTAAATAAGTGAAAGCTTGAAAGCTAATTTTCTAAAAGTTTACAAAGCCTAAAGTGCTCATGTAAGGGATAATGTACAATACAAATAAACCCTGGTCTCACCCTGAAAGACATTTGTGATAATAATGGCAGCTGGCTGTACATTTTCCCTCTACTTGGCAAATAAATAAATGGCCATTTAAATGGCTTTATTACATTACAAGAAAGAGACCATTGAATGATATAAGAGACATGAAACTACCACAGATATATCCATAGGTAATCAGTTGCCAAGAACAACAGTAAATGATTTAAGTGTCATTAGAATTAGAATGCTGCGACTGACCAATCAGAATCAAGTATTCCAGAGACACGTCTAATGAATCACTACATCACTGGCCTATCAACACTAATCAGGTTAGAGCTAGGCTATAGGGACTGCATTAAGAAAAATGCTGACTTCAGTCACGATCTGCTAAAATTCAATTTCCTGAACAATGGATTGTTTAAGCGATGAATCAGATCCTAAACCTAAAGCTGAGCTGGAGGCCATAACAATATTGTTCTCTAATGTTTCAGGACCATGAACACTGTGATAGCAAAAGTAAAAAGTTGAAGGTTTACTAGAAATAACAGTCTTACCTAAACCAGGAGGAATGACGGGGATGACAGGTAAACTTGGCGGGGGGTATCCCACTGGCTGGCCTCGGTATGGATCATTGGGCTGTGGGTAAGGTGGCTGTCCCCCGTACGCGTTGAAGCCATATGGGGGGACAGAAGCAGGGTAACCTCCTCCAGGCTGAGGGTTAGAGAGCAGCCGCGAATCATCGTAACCCGGAGGGAAATCTGACCTTGACATGCTGCTTTAACACCTGGTGGGTAGATGAGATACCATAATGACCATGTGTTACTAAAGTGCAGAAAATACCCAAGATAAAATCAGACTTGCTCCAAAACAACGTATTTACTTTTTATTATTTCTTTAGGAGCATGTCAATGGTCAAGTGCTACCTGCGATTACCAAGAAGATTTGTTTGATTGATCTGCGTTTATTCTCCCATCCAGCCCTAAAATATATTCAAATAACCCTACAATCCAAGAAGTGTTTGAAATGTAAAACACCTTCTTAAGCTAAACCGTGGGACTTTTATACTTTAATCCATTCACCCCATGATCTGTCAATTATTGAACACAACCTATAACTGAGCTTAAGATGATCTTTCCCTTTAGTATTAAAATTGTTTTTAAGCAGGAAAACATATTCGTCATCCAACTCCAAAAACATTTCACAGGCAAGAATGAGCTTCCTGTTTCTGAGATGCATGCATACTTTCTCAGCGCTTTTCAATACTAACAGAAGTAGTTCACTCTGTGGTCACTAATGGTTCATTCTAGATTGCAGTGACTGATGTTGTCTTTCACTTTTAGATGAAATCCCTGAAGAAATCCATTTATATTTTAAAACACTTTTAACTGTAACTTGAAATAGTACATAATTATAGAATGAATATATCAAATTATTTAAATGTTGAGCATGAAATTATGCACGAGGAGAGGCATTTTAAGGTAAAAGTAGCAAAAATTATCTGCTGAATCATTAAACTGATGATTTAAAAAATTAAATAAACTGAAGGTAAAGATTTAAAAATGAGAAAAATTTTAACTTAATAATAATAACTTACAATTATTACTCATTAACTGTTTAACAATTGTGTGTAAATTATTTTAGTGAAGTTATTAACGTAATTTCAGGAGGAGTACGCCCATCTAATCTTCCAATTAATATCAGAGTATAAATACAGTCTCTTACCACTTCCATTGTTAGTTCTTTCGGCATCCCTCCTCCTTTTATACATATTTATTAATCTTTCTGTCTATAGGGGGGCTATCGGAGCTCGAGTAGAATAGTCTCTCTGAGCCCTCCATTGCAGATATCAAACCAAATCTGTTTACCACTAATGCTAAGATTATATGGGCACACAAACTCGTGAAATACTATATACTGTAGTTATGTTATAAATATCAATGATGTTAACAAAATATAAAAACACCTACAGTATCTTTATGAAAAACACAAGTAGTTCTTATATAGACTAAAGGCCATGTGTGATTATTCTTGTAATATTAAGATCAACAGTACCATTATTGTTTTTGTAATACCTTCGCTATCTTGATGTGTATGTTACTGGTTCTTTACAATTGTTCTAAAATTATAGCTCTATAATTTAGTTAATGAAGTGGATAAAAATAGCAGATAACATCATTAATATAGCACAGCAAGTGTGAGAAGTTCAGCACTGACAAGTTTCATTTTGAAAACAATTCAGATGGAAATGTAAAATCTTAATTAAGGAAAACATGTCTGCAAGAGCACTAAACTTAGAATATCCTTCCTGCCTCTTCCCATCAAGATCTATGATGTGGCTAGAGGTTTGAGAGGTACAGATGCAAACAACAGATAAGTGGACATAAATTCACTCGGTGACTGCACGTCTACACTTTGAAAGGTTTCTTTCCATTTTAATCTTAACAATGACGTTCATGAAAGATATGAACTTACAATATTTTGAATCTGCGAGTACAACTTTCTGAAAAACTCTGAAATACCAAAGCTTCAAATATTATGTTGCCATTTTCACTCTCACAGTACTGATCACAGCAAAAAAGCACTAACCGCACTTTAAACAGTCTTCCTGGAAACAACCAACAAGGCACAGCCCATGAAAGGTCTTACAGTGAGTGGTGTGAATACACCTAGTTTTTCCTCAGCGACTACGTTTTCCTATGCTCAGTTTAGGGACTGAGATTTTGAAATTTGAATGATACTTTTTTTTCTTTGCATGCATTAAGACATTATTTGTGTTAAAGGGATAGTTCACCCAAAAAGTTGATGTTTATCCGCTTACCCCCAGGGCATCCAAGATGTAGGTGACTTTGTTTCTTCAGTAGAACACAAACGAAGATTTTAACTCAAACCGTTAGTCTGTCAGTCATATAAATGGAGGTGAATGGGAATCACGGCTTTGAGAGTTAAAAGAACATACACAAACAAAACCAAATTAAACCCTGCAGCTCGTGACGATACACTGATGTGTAAAGACATGAAACGATTGGTCTGTGCAAGAAACTGAACAGTCTTTATGGCAGATCGCAGACTTATAAGTGCATTACCACCACCTATCTCTTAAATGAACCATTGACACTATCTACAATCTCAATTAGGAGTGTCAATGGTCCATTTGGGAGATAGGTGGTGGTAATGCACTTATAAGTCAGCGATCTGCCATAAAGCAAGAAGATGACGCAAACGCGCTCAGGACAGTTCGGACCTTGCAGTAAATCAGAGGTAAAAAAACGATATAAATACTGTTCAGTTAAATGAACCATTGACACTATCTACAATCTCAATTAGGAGTGTCAATGGTCCATTTGGGAGATAGGTGGTGGTAATGCACTTATAAGTCAGCGATCTGCCATAAAGCAAGAAGATGACGCAAACGCGCTCAGGACAGTTCGGACCTTGCAGTAAATCAGAGGTAAAAAAACTATATAAATACTGTTCAGTTTCTTGCACAGACCAATCGTTTCATGTCTTTACACATCCGTGTATCGTCACGAGCCGCAGGGTTTAATTTGGTTTTGTTTGTGTATGTTTTTTGACTCTCAAAGCCGTGATTCCCATTCACCTCTATTATATGACTGACAGACTGCAACTGTTTGAGTTAAAAATCTTCGTTTGTGTTCTACTGAAGAAACAAAGTCACCTACATCTTGGATAAAGCGGATAAACATCAAAAGTTCATTTTTGGGTGAACTATCCCTTTAAGACATTACTTCCTGTTGTCAAACAGAGGTAAAGCAGCTCATGCAGGACCACACAGTGAGGTTAACATGCACACGTGACTCACATCTGCTAAGGAAAATCTCATGCAGCCCAATTGAAAGTGAATCAGATTGTCATTTTATGAAAGTATCCTGAGAAAAGGCGTTTCTGCATTTCAAGACCAGGAAGGAGTGGCTGTCAAATTAACTTTAGAGAGCAACTAAACTGAGTCATACGCTGTTACTACATGAACCAACATTTTCCAGGATATGTGACAAACTTCATGAACAATATAAAACCAGGTTTAATGTCACTTTTTACTTTCAGACCAAGCACATGCAAGTACTTTCTCGTTTATGCACCTCTATGGTATGTAGGCCGATTACAATGTTTACAAAAACATGGAGGGTGCTGTGTAATTCAAGCCAAACTGGAAAAGAATGTCTCCTTTCTTTAGGAGTTCAACACTGCCAGCATGACTCAAGCAAGCCTGCCACACATGTTCTCTGCTAAGTAATCTTTTATATTTAGTGGAAAATAAATGACACTTATTTCCTTACTGGTCCACCACTTGAGATTGTTGTGTAACACTGTTACAAACTGCTAGATATTCCATCTCTAATGGGGCAGGAGGGCATTTTACAAAAGTGTGAGCTTACTCCCATAATCCTCCATTCTAACATCACCTTGAAACATAGACTAGAAGCCAGTTAAATACAGGCTAAAATCCCCAACTGTATTCTACAGCTGTTGAACACGTTCACAAATATTTTGGCCTCATTCCCCCTTCGCAAATATTTACCACAGTTTCCGTCAAAATAACAGGTACTAGATATTTCACGTATAAATTAATCAATCGTTGTAAAAAGCTGTTGAACAGTACCTTATGCATGACAAGAGCACGTGATGGTAAAATAAAACAGTAACAATCTTACCACGCGCTGTCTGAAATCCAGAAAACCAAACCCAATCGATGTTGAAGCTTGGAGACAGAAATATCTGGTAATATAATCCTTCAAACTGAGCCTTTTTAAATAAAAACTCGTGAGTTGACGCACTGACCCACCTTCTTCAGTGTCAGTTCAACTAGTGTACAGCCAGCAGTCAGTCGATGATGTTCCGTGTAATAATGTGCTCGAGATGCTTACAAGCCAGCAGGTGGAGTCAGCCTGAAACATACTGGAGTGGGGGTTCAATCTTCAACTGGCTGGCAGGAGCTGCCACTGACAGGTCATGTGACCTGCCAGTGGCTGGTGGCAGCTGCCAGTCTGATTCTG